CCGATGCATGGAGCTCCGCGCTCCAGCCCTGGAGGAGGAGGGGGCGCCTGGAGACGCGTCGGAGGAAGAAAACCCTAGAGGCACGTCGGAGGAAGAGAACCCTAGAGACACGTCCGAGGAAGGGAACCGCAGAGACTATAGGGGGAGTCCCGAGGAGGCTAGCTCATGCACAGAGTCCCCGGTCAACGAAGATGCCCGATCCTCCTCCTCCCCCGCTGCTCCTCCTCCTCAGTTTCTCTCCTCCTCCTCCTCCTCCCCCTCCTCCTCCTCTTCCTCGCTGTTCTCCCCTTTGACCCTATCTCCATATTATACCTCGGTGCCCCCCTTCGATCGCCGCCCTCGAAAGCAGGCCCGTCACGAAGGCCAACCCTGCATTTTGAAACGCCCCCATCGAGTCCGATAGCCCCCGAAGCATATCCCGGTGGAGCGGGCCCCCGAAAACCATGCCCCGTACAAGATGTGATTCGGACCTGGGAAAGAAGACAGGATGCTTCAGAAGATTCGTTATTGTCCTTCCCCATTCGATCCTCTCCCCATTTCACTTCGGCCCCTTTTTGGATCGCAATTCTCGAAAGGCCCGTCTCGAGCGTCGACCCTGCATTTCGAAGCGCCCCCATCGAGTCAACGTATCCAACGGGGGCGGGCCTTCGAAAACCATGCACCCCTGAAAAATGCGACTCGGACCTGGGGAACAAGACACAATGCCTCAACACATATATATATATATATACACATATCAAACATGAGGGGGGGAAGGGGGGGGGGGGCGAGGCAGCCTCGAGACTCGCCAGGGGGGAACGTCGCCTCGTCTTGACCGACGGCGCAGGGAGGGCGCCGCGCAGCCGCCGCTCGTGCAATGGGCGACGCGCGACTGGCGCAGGAGAAGGGGAGGAGGAGGAATACTAGGGAAGAAGAGGAGCGAAGAGGAGGAGGATGATATGTAGCTAGGAGGAGGAAAATGCGGACGAAGAAGAGGAGGCGGACCAGCTACAGGAGCGGACGACGAAAACGAAAAGGGCACCAGAGTCTCCAATCTCACATTTCGCCGGGTGCGACGTCAGGCGCCCCGTCGGCCATCCCGGGGGGCAGGCCCCTCCTATCCTCCTCCTTCTCCTTCTCATCCTTCTCCTCCTCCACTGCCTCCTCCTTCGCCGTTCCTGTTCCCCCATATTAGCCCCCCCATCCTGATCACCCGCCCCCCCCCACAGCCCCTGCCCCCGCCTCTGCTTATCGCACCCCTCCTCTTCTGATTGCGTATCATCCTGCTTCTTATATTCCTCCTTTTTCCCCCCATGGCGGCAGCCTTATTATTCCTCCTTCTGCTATGGCTCCTCCTCCTATATATATATGTATATATGTATGTGTATATCTATAGCCTGCTGATCTTAACTCATCCCCCTACTCCTCCTTCTCCTGTCCCCGCATTCCCCCCTCATCCTCCTATAGCTCATCCCCCTCCGCCCCCCGCCCCCCCCCCTCCCATGAGCCGCGGGGCGCGGGGTGGTGATCTGGCCCCGGAGGGCCCACCATCGAACCTTCCAAAAACGATGGGGCGCCCGTTACGAATGCCCCTCGACTACTAGCTAGCAGCCGCGCAAGTAGGCCAAGCCCACCACCTCCATCAGGCACGTCAATCTGCACCTGGCGGGCGGGCGGCGGAAGGCGGCGACGACAGCGACGAAATCAGACGATCTGGCGCGCCCCTCCCTTTATCTCCGGCGACGGCAACACAAATGCCCCTGGGGCGCCGAAAACTCGCGACGCCAGAACGCCCGAGGGCGCACGGTTTCCGGCAGGGCCGCAGGCGACCCGAGGAGGGGGGGGGGAGTAGAGGGGGGGGGGTGAGGAGAGCGAGCGAGGATTGGAGGAGGGGGGGAGGAGCTATAGGGGGAGGATGAGGAGGAGGAGGAGGCGGAAGAGCTAGGAGGAGTAGGAGGAGAAGGGGGGGGGGGGGGGGGGCAGGATAGGGGGAGGAGGAGGAGGAGGAGGAGGATGGGGGCTAGGAGAGAGGAGGAGGAAGAGGAGGAGGAAGAGGAGAGGAGCTAGAGAGAGGAGGGGGAGGGGGAGGAGGGAGGAGCAGGGGGAGGAGGAGGAGGGGGAACAGAGGAGGAGGAGCTAGGAGGAGGAGGAGGGGGAGGAGGAGAAGGAGCTAGGAGGAGGAATAGAGGAGGAGCTTAGGGGGGGGAGGGGGATCTAGCAGGGAGGGGTCGAAGGTTGGGGGAGGGAAGGCCAGGGGGGGAGGGGGGGGGAGGGGGGGGAGAGGATATAGGGGGAGGAGAGGAGGAGCTGGAGGAGGAGAGGGAGGAGGAGCGCAGGAGGAAGAGGAGCAAGAGGAGTAGGAGGAGGATGCGGAAAAGAAGAGGAGGAGGAGGAGGAGCATGAGGAGGCGGAGGAGGAGGAGGGGGTAGGAGGAGGAGGAGGATAGCAGGAGGAGGAGGAGGAGCTAAGGGGAGGGGCCCCTTCCCAGACTTAAGGAGGTCTGCGTTGGGAGCCCCTTCTTAAACCCATATAAACATGTAAAACACGATCGAGCACTTGAAATTCATTTACATTTTTTTACCTCCCCCAAAAAACGGGCCCTGGAAGGGCCCCAGGCCCCAGCGGGGCCCCGACCCCCGGGAAACCAAGGCCAGGGCCACATGTAGGACCGACTCCAGCTCCAGCTTGCAGCTGGTTCGACCAGAAGGACCGCCGGCCGCCCCCGCGCTGCCATACCCCCCCTCCCTCTAAGCTCACTATCCCTCCCAACCCCTCCCGCACCTTTCCCCACCCCCCCACCCCCGCGCCCCTTTCCCCCCCGCCATTTCCACCCCCCCGCCCCGCCCCCTCCATCCCCCCGCCCCTCCCCATCCATCCCCCGTCCTCCCATCCCCCATACTGCGCTGCCGCCCCCCCCCATCCTTCCACCCATGCCTCCCGTCCCCAATTGTCCGCCATGCACCTCCCATGCGTTACTGACCGCTCTGTCATCCTGTTGATGGTCACATGCTCTCATTCCATCTCGCTCGCCGTGACTCTGCTTCTATATCACTTGCTCGCTCTCTCTCTCTCTCTCTCTCTCTCTCTCTCTCTCTC